TCTGGCTTACTTTGCTTAATATAATTTTTTCCAAGTCTTTCCATTTCCTTATGAATGGAACAATGCCATTCTTTCTGATGGAAGCACAGAATTACATATATATTACATATACATAACATGTTTCCTTGATCCATTCATCCACTGAAGGACATCTGGGTCAATTCCATATGTTGGCCATGGTAAACAATGCAGCAATGAACATGGTTGTGCTGGTAGTGACCTTGATTGTGTCTATTGAGTATTCCAGGAGTCGAATTGCTGGGTCATTGGAAAGCTCTATGTTTAGTCTTTGAGGAACCCCCATACTGCTTTCCAGAGTTGTTGAACAAGTTTACATTTCTACTAACAGTGTAGTAGCATTCCCTTTTGGCTACACCTCAGCTGGTACCTATTATTATTAGTTTTATTGAAACTGGCTATTCTAACTGGGGTGAGAAGGTATCTCAATGTTGTTTTGATTTGTATTTCTTTTTTTTGGGGGGGGAGAGAGGGTCCGGTCATGGGGCCTGAACTCTGGGCCTGGGCTCTTCAGCTCAAGGCTAGTGCTCTACCAATTGAGCCACAGTGCCACTTCTGACTTTTTTCTTTTTGCTTATGTGGTGCTGAGGAATCAAATCCAGGGCCTCAGGCATGCAAGGCAAGCGCTCTACCACTGAGCCACCTTCCCAGCCCCTGATTTGTATTTCTTTTATGGCTAGAAATGTTGAACATTTCTTCCTGTGTCTATTGGCCATTCTTCTTCTGAGAAGTTTCTCTTCAAGTCTTTAGCCAATTTATTAATTGGGTTGTTGTTTCTTTCAGGGTTTGTTTTTGGAAGGTTTAATTTTTTGAGCTCTAAGCATATTTTTGATATGAGGCCCTTGTGTGGTGCACAGTAAAAATCTTCTCCCATCCTGTGGGCTTTCTATTTATCTTGCTAGCAATGTTGTTTGCTACGCAGAAACTCTTCAGTTTGATGCAATCCCATTTATCCAGTCTTTCTTTGATTTGTTGTGATTTTGGATTTTTACTTAGGAAGTTCCCACCCATGCCTAGGAGTCCTAGTGTTTCCCCTATCCCTTCCTATAATACTAAATCTCAGTTTTATTTTAAGAGCGATGCCATCACTTCTCAAGCTTTTGGCTAAAATCAAGTATTAAAGGAGATGCTAACTGAATAAAAAAGAAAAAGTCTTGATATTTTCCCTACAATCTATTGATCAAAGAGATGTTTTAACCACTTTTATGAGATGGTATCTACCTCCCCATTAAAAGAAGTACAGAGAGAGAAAGTGAGAGAGGGAAAGAGAAAGAGAGAGAGAGAGAGAGAATCCATTCCAGCCCAAGAGTAATGCTTGATAAATATTTGTTCAATGGTGCTTAATAAATATTTCTCAGGTTATAAGTACAGGAAAACAGGAGCTAGACACAGAATAAACTCTTTTGAGGTTATGAAACTCAAGTGGGGTGGTTGTCCACCTCTAACCCTCCTCTTCCCTGTCAGGATTTATTTTGAACTCTGAACATCTTTGCACAAGGTAGAGGAATTCAATGGTAGTTATCTCCCTCATCTTGCTGCTCCAGCAGAGCTCAAAGACCATGGGCAGCCTCCCAAGAACAGCTTCTTACAGAACTTGTTTTCTAAGTGGTAGCCAAGCGGACTTGGTTCTTTGGGATCCTGACAAAAGAACAAGAGATCTTGCTGATAACCTTCCTACTTGCCTGCCTTCATGACTCTTGAGTAAAAAAGTAGAGGAATTAACCTTCTATGTGTAGAAAATGTATGCTTAATGCCAAAAGGTATGCTTAATGCCTGGCATTCAATAAGCACTTCAACATAGTCATTATCATCTATGATAGAAATAGAAGGTCAGGGGCTGGGAAGGTGGCTCAGTGGTAGAGCGCTTGCCTTGCATGCCTGAGGCCCTGGGTTCGATTCCTCAGCACCGCATAAGCAAAAAGAAAAAAACTCGAAGTGGCGCTGTGGCTCAAGTGGTAGAGTGCTAGCCTTGAGCTGAAGAGCTGAGGGACAGCGCCCTGGCCCAGAGTTTAGGCCCCACGACTGGACCCCCCCCAAAAAAAAGAAAGAAAGGAAGGAAGGAAGGAAGAAAGAAGAAAGAAAGAACTAGAAGGTGGATGGATTCTTTTTTGTTAGTTTTTTTTTTTTCTTGTCGGTCATGGAGCTTGAACTCTGGGACTGGGTGCTGTCCCTGAGCTCTTCAGCCCAAGGCTGGTGCTCTACCATTTGAACCACAGTGCCACTTCTGGTTTTCTGGTGGTTAATTGGAGATAAAAGTCTTGCAGACCTTCCTGCCTGGGCTGTAGCTAGGATTACAGGCATGAGCCACCTGGCCTTTTTTGTTAATGGACCTAATGTGTTGAGGGAGAGTTGTGAAGCAGAAAAATAACAAAAGCTACCCAATACCTGCTATAAATCGTTTTTGGAAAAATTTTCTGGAGTTTGAACTCAGGACCTTGCACCTCCCAAGGAGGTACTCTACCACTTAAGTATACCCCTACCAATTTTTGCTCTTATTTTTTGCATAGGGACTTATTTTTTATCCTCAAGACTGTCCTGGACCATGATCCTCCTATTTATGCTACCTACATAGCTAGAATGACAGGTGTGCACCAACATGTCTAGCTTTTTCTTAACTAAATGGAGTCTCATGTACTTTTTTTATGAGGGGGCAAAGGTGGTCAGGGTTGGCCTTGAATCACAATCCTCCAACTCATCCTCCAGGTTACAGTTATTAGCTAGGATGACAGTTATTACTCACCATGTCTGGCTCAAATACAATTTTTATTCACATCTATATACTTAGATAAACATAGAATGCCTCTGGAAATGTAGTTAACAGCAATAGTGGTTATCTCCAGGAAAGGGACTCAAACTGAAGTAGCTGGAATGGGTAAAAACAACTGGCGAAAGATTTGTAAGGTTTGGGGCTGGGAAGGTGGCTCAGTGGTAGAGCGCTTGCCTTGCATGCCTGAGGCCCTGGGTTCGATTCCTCAGCACCACATAAGCAAAAAAAAAAAAGCCAGAAGTGGCACTGTGGCTCAAGTGGTAGAGTGCTAGCCTTGAGCTGAAGAGCTGAGGGACAGCGCCCAGGCCTAGAGTTCAGGCCCCACGACTGGACCCCCCCCCAAAAAAACAAAGATTTGTAAAGTTTTTAATTTTTTTGCCATGTGGTTATATCAATATCTATTAAAAACTATATTAACAGAGCTTATGCCATCTGAGCTGGCCTCAAACTTGATTTTCTTACCTCAGCCTCTGAAATTTTAATGTGTGCCACCACACCCACCCAGCTTAATAATTCATTTTTAAAATTAATGCTACTAGCTTAAAATCTCTTCAAAGTTATACTGCCTTTGGACAAAGTGGAAAATGGATAATGCCTGCTGTCACCCTTTGTTGACTGACAACCATTGCAATAGAGAAGATTAATTCTGAGAAAAACATAATATGTGCATGTCGGAAAAACATGGTCAAACTCCTTGGTACAGTGATACACACTAAATAAAAAAGAATAACAATAAAGTAAAACAGGGTCTGTTGGGAAGGGGCTAGAATAATAGCAGGGAGATGGTGGGCTATGGAGAAAGTGACTGAGGGTGTTATATGGTCCAAGGAGGAAAAGAGGTAGGAGGTAGCTAGCCATAGAGGGAGTGAGTTTGATCTAGATAGCTTGTATGCATATATGGAAAAGTCACAATGAAAACCTCCTTATACAACTAGTGTAAGGTAATAAAATACCATAAAAATCAGTATTGAGAAAAAACATTTTAACTGTTTTTTGTTGTTGTTGTTGTTTTTTAAGTACGACTGTAAGTGTGCTCAAGTGTCGTAGAGCAGTAAAGGAGTAAGCATGAGACCCTGAGTACAACCCACAGTACTATAAAAAAAAAAAGAACATTAAAAATATTTTGGGATGGAGCTGGGAAGGTGGCTCAGTGGTAGAGTGCTTGTCTTGCATGAATGAGACTCTGGGTTCGATTCCTCAGCACCACATAAGCAGAAAAAGCCAGAAGTGGCGCTGTGGCTCAAGTGGTAAATGCTAGCCTTGAGCTGAAGAGCTGAGGGGCACTGCCCAGGCCCAGAATTCAGACCCCCACCACAGACAAAAAATTTTTTTTTTAAATTTGGGAAATACTATAAAACATAGAGAATAACAAGCACTAATTCTACCACCAACAGATAGCTACTGTTAACATTTTCATTTCATTTCGTTTCTAAGATCTATACATTTGCATATACAAAGTGTTCATGCTGAATTTTGAGGTCTTCAAAACACATTTCCATTTTTCTTATATAAATAACAATTGGTTTGTCCTTTTTAAATACTGCAAAGAATATTCTCAGTATGTTACTGTATTACTAGACATTGCAATGCATGTTTTCATATAAGGTAGAAATCATTTGGAAATTTCCGTAATTTCAGGGTTAGCATTGACTTCTTCTATAAATGCCATAGTTAAGTTCACATGGATGTCTGTCACTCAGTTCACACTTCAGGCTGAAATGAGTTCTTCCTCTCTCACTAATATCGAGTCCCTGGCTTTGGGCAAATATTTGAGTATTGAATGGAAAGCTTAGGGGGCTCCTCTGGTGGCTTTCTTAGGTAAAGGTACATGCTCCTGGCCAAGAGAGCACTAGATCAAGGTCGGGGCCCTGCACTGGGCCAACAGGGAACAGTGCATAGATCAGCGAGCAAATGCCAATTTCTTTTTTTTCCTCTGTTATCTTCTTGGGCGGTGTTCCCACCCACTTGGGAAAACAATCTCCACATATCCTCAGCGGGTAGCTTCCTAATGATCACCGGGCTGGAATCACAGGCTGGTAGGCGGGTCCATGCCCGAGGCTCGTGTTGGACCAAGCCTGGGCTGGAAACCCACCCCCCAAACGAGCCAGGCAGTATAAAGGGGCGAGGCAGGCTGGGGCTGCTGTAGCACCAGCTTTACCAGAGGAAAGGCTCGCCTGCTGGGTCCACGGCTGCTGAGTGCCTGTCCCACATCACGAAGATGGCACCCGTTGGGAAAAAATCCAAGAAGGTGAGTGTTCTGGGAGCGCGAGGGTGCTCTGGGTCCCACTTGCCAGCCGGGTGCTAACCTCCTCAGGGAGTGCGGAAAGGCCCCCCGCAGCCTGGCTGCAGACCAAGCGACCTCCTCCCCGCCGGTCTCAACCCAGAGCGTCCTTCTGGGGGCGCCACAGACTTCAAAGCCCTCACTCCTCACCCCACGTGCAGGCAGGGCGTGCCCCTGGAGTTCCTCTCCCGCCTCTCCATCCCCAGCTGCGCTCTGGACCAGAGTAAGCCCTGTGATCCTAGCCGCCTGTGCCCAAAGGCATCTCGAAGGGGCCTCCAAGCTCTAAGATTCCTCCCAAGTCCAGTGTCCCAAGACCAGATTACTCCTCAGAAATGCTACTCTAGACCCCCAGGCCCGATTTCCTGCCCTTGAAAGTGGCGCGGGTTGGTAGCCTGCAGGATGTAGGGGCTGGGCTCCAGGAGCGCGAGGACCCAGATAAGACCGTTTCCCATCTGTGCCAAGAAGCAAGCGCGGCTGGTTCTCACTGTGCCCCAGCGGCTGCCGCACCAAGGCCAGACGTTGGTGGGGTAATGGTAGGTTTCATCCACGATTTGTTTCAACAATCACAGAGAGAGAGAAAAAATCACCACACCAGCTTCAAAAGCAGTTTGAGAAGAACTGGGCAGAATGATTGAAGCTGTTGAGGAAAAGCTGCTGGTGAAAAATTGTTAAACCCCAAACCCAGCAGTTCTAGCTCCGGGCTAACAAGCCCATCACTTTACTTTTCCCAGTCCTTTCCGGGAGGGGCTGACCAGCATCTCCTATACCTGGTGGGAAGGGAGAGAAGGATGGAGGGGGGACAAAATGTACTTGGACCCTTTGCTACCACCACGACCAGCCACACCCCTGGCACTAGGAGATAAGTGAGAGGCAGCAATGGTCCAGGCCAGCTGTTAACCCTTGATTTGTGAGGCACAGGAGGGCAGCCGAGCCCTGATGGGTTGCCCACTTTTTAAAGGAACCACCAACAAATCAAAAGGTCCTCTGCACAGGAAAAAAAGGTGAATTCGATTAAATATTTCCAAGGCCATACCCTGATGATGAAATGACAAATTACAGGCTGTTATCAGTTGAAATAGATTGAGAAGTACTTCCAGCCCCCACACATTTACTAAGTGAATAGCCCATGTGGACTAGAATCCCTACAGAGATTCAATTAATTGTTTTTCTTGGTCTGGCCCTGTTCATATAGCCATGGATTCTAATCCTTTCCCTCAAGATGCAAATTCAAATTTTTCACCATGATTAAAGAATGGTCTCTAAAGAATCATCTAAGCAACAGGGGTCTCCAATAGAATAGTGTTACCCTCATTCCCCCATCAGTGATAAAATGTGGACAGTAATTTGTTTGCATATATGAGTATCAAATATGTTGCAGAGCTAATACAAATTCATTATAAACAACTAGTAACACAAAGAACCATGCTCATCACATTTGCCATATGTTCTGATACACACATATGGACTGATACACACACACACATACACACACACACACACACACACACACCACACATGTAATACTTGTTCACAAAATAGTATCCATTTCATAGCACATTCCAGTATGTTCATTGAGTCTTCCCTCCTACCCTGCCACCAAACAGCACAAAAGCTGGTATAAAGTCATAGCTCACTGATGCGTTTTATGTTTAGGATATAACTGCACTAGTAGAAATGTTTGTGTAGATAGATAGATAATTTTTCTTGCTAATTAGGTCACAGTGATCAAAGCTGCTGTTTTAAGACAAGCATTTAGACACATTGTAATCATGCCAAATGTTTGGGTTTCAAAAATCACATGTGGACAATTCTGTATTTTTGTACTTGTTTGATAACCTATGGTCAACCATAGGTTTTAATTAAAGGTAATGTTTTAATTATAAAGGTATTCAAGGGCTGGGAAGGTGGCTCAGTGGTAGAGCACTTGCCTTGCATGCCTAAGGCCCGTTCAATTCCTCAGCACCACATAAGCAAAAAGCAAAAAGCCAGAAGTGGTGCTGTGGCTCAAGTGGTAGAGCACTAGCCTTGAGCTGAAGAGCTGAGGGACAGCGCCCAGGCCAAGAGTTCAGGCCCCACGACTGGACCCAAAAAAATAAAAATAAAAAGGTTTTCAAAAGTAAATAGAATTATCCCCCACTAAGCTTCCTGTTCTAAGGTAAAAATGCCCCTGGTTTCCTCTCTCTGAGCATTTGCTGTTCAAAGGGCATGAAATGGAACTGTGAAGGGGAAGACGATTGCAATGAGATTCTAAGAAAATGAAGAGGAATTGGGTACACAATCTTATGAATGCCTCACACATTTATATAGGCCTTGTTATATCTACTTTTAAAATTTTTTGTCCACTTGTAGTAGCAATAAATGAGACAGAGTGAATACATTCCCAACTCGTCTTTAGAGTTTACAGTTTTCTCAGGGTTATCTCACTCTCCCCCTCAATTCAATTTACCATCAAATCTAGGATAGCATTTAAGGACAAAAGAGTCTGGAAGACTTTGTATAAATTACTCAGGGACTCTGGGCTTTAATTTCTCATTTATAAAACCAGAAACAGCAACCTAAATTGAAGGTAGGGTACCTTTTATTTAAAGTCTGAGCCTCCAAAACTGCAAAAATATTCAGTTATGCTAGTAAATTACTTTCTAGTCTATAAAGCCCTTTAAAAATATCAATTCAAAATTCATTTCTTAAACATTAAAGTCGGGGTGATTCTTGCAGTTTTGTAAATGGACTAGGTGTGGAGAATGGGCTAGAAACCATTTCATAAATGTTTTACTCATCTTTTTCCCTGTTCTTGGTGTAGTGCAGGACATAAATCATCTCAGTCTCCAGGATGGATAGCAAAGCTGCTACTGTGAAAAATGATCTTTAATGCCAGAGAGAAAAGTCCTTTAAATGGTTTAGTCACCTATGTTAGAATCTTCTTCCTTCTGTTTGTGCCAAGTGTCTTGTGACCTTTCCATCTTTGAAATGTGTAGAGTATTACCGCTTTAATCCTCTAGTTTATTGATTGAACAGGACTACTAGCAGTTGCCATTTAACAACATGCACATCAGGGCTGTGGATTGGCATGGTTCACTTGTAGAGCACTTGCCTAGCATGCATAAGGCCCTGGTTTTATCCCTAACACATAAAAAGAGAGGAGGAGAGAGAGAGAAAGAGAGCTCCTCATTAGAGTGACAACAGTTGACAACAACCTTATATGTAAACATTTAAAAGAATGTACATTTGGAGGTGTGGAGGAGGTATGCTGAGGATCAAACCAGGGGCCTGGGCAAGCTAGGCAAATGATCTACCACTGAGTTACACCCCCCTCCCCCGCCTGAATATACATGCATGTGTTCTGAAAGACACCACCCCACACAGCACATACACATGAATACACACATTTCCACTCTATGAGTATTCTGCCATAAATTTGTGTATAAAATATTTGATGTATTTTTTCCTGAGAATTTTAAAGAAACTATACTTCTCAAGGATGTTTGGCAAAAGCATTCAAATACAAAATTGCTTTAAAAATAAACTCCTTTCTCACCCTCATCTGTAATTTTAGGGCATCCTAGAACGCTTAAATGCAGGAGAAGTTGTGATTGGAGATGGAGGGTTTGTCTTTGCACTGGAGAAGAGGGGCTATGTAAAGGCTGGACCCTGGACACCAGAAGCTGCTGTGGAGCACCCTGAGGCAGGTTGGTACATAGCTTTATTCTAAATTCTCAGAGTGGACCTTCAATTGACCCAAGTTCATGGGCAAAACCAAAACAGATACATAAATGCAATACTTTGCAGAAACTTGTTCTTGATTGCTGGGCCCTGCTAGGTTAAGTCCAGATACATTTACACATTTTCTAGCACCCTGGCTCTCCCTGCTGTTGATAGCTACAGACCTCCGATCCCTGCCTCTCACTCTATATGAGTTTAGAGCTAGCTGACTATCCACCTCACCAGTCTACCCAACTTTAATATCCATATAGATGATGCAGCAATTTTCCTGGTAGTCCGTCAACTTCCTCCCCACCCCCAACTAGCCACATACTCCTAGGCTTTACCATCACCTAGAGCTGCCCACCTCTGAAATCTCAATTCCAAGCACCCCACTCCCTCACCATCACCACCTTATCTTTGTCTTTGCTAGGCCAGTATTATGCTCCATTCTCCCTTTATATGTATATAAAAAAGCTTGTTTTTATTACTTGGTCAGGTGTGTCCAGCTTACTTTGGACTTATGTGTGTTTAATATTTGCTTTTTCTTCTGCAAGTTGCATGCTTTTCAAGAATTAATAGAAACTCCATGACGCCAAATCTTTCAGTTTAATCCTTTCAGCCAGGGACTGAAGTCTTCTATGATATTTGGCTCTGCCAACACCCAGCTCAATCTGGGCTCTGTTGGAAACATTTTACATAATTGGTGCCTGAAGCCTGACTTTTTAGTGCCAGAGACAGCAATAAAGAAAAAGATATGCTGCAGGTCCACAATCCTTTATCCAAATTATTTTGGGATCAAACATGGTTTAGAATCTAGAAGTTTGGGATTTTAGAAAATTAGTACAGTATATATACTGCATATTACAAAACATTCCTATTGGCCTAAAGCACATGCATGCATGAACACGCGAACACACATACACACACATACACACACACACCAAGAAATCAAACACATATATACTTTTTGTATCAGCACATGTGACTACCATATCAATGGGCATGCACTTATAAACACCTTTGTGTTAGTACAGGCACAGTTTGCTCCCAAATGTCTTAGATGTTATTCTACTCAAGAAATGCTGCATTGGGCTGGGAAGGTGGCCCAGTGGTAAAGCGCTTGCCTTGCATGCATGAGGCCCTGGGTTTGATTTCTCAGCACCACATAAGCACCAAAAAAAAGCCGGAAGTGGCACTGTGGCTCAAGTGGTAGAGCGCTAGCCTTGAGCTGAAGAGCTGAGGGACAGC